CAGTTTCACCAAAATCACTGAATACAGTTAGAAAGTTGAGATATTTATCCTCAAAATGAACACATGACTTCCTGTCTGTAGAAGCCAACTGGTTCCTACTGAAGGCTTTAAAAGGAGGAGGAGGAGGAGGAGGAGTTGTCTGTTTTCATTTACTGTAATATGCTGAGAGAGAGATGATGGACTCCTCATTATCTCATTTAATTATCTCCTCCTCCTCCTCCTCTCTTTACATCAGAGTCTGAAAATCCAGGACGAGACTCTCCAGGCCTGGAACAACCTGTGTGTGTGTGTGTGTGTGTGTGAGAGAGAGAGAGAGAGCAGTGATTAAACAACCTGCAGCTCAACGCAGATGAAACAATGAAGAGGAAAACAGACAATAGGCCAAATCTCCAAACCTGCTGGTTTGTTTAAAGGTGATATAAATATTCACTCTGCCACTAGAGGTCGCACTAGAGTCAGCATCACTCCAACCCACCAGACTCCATTCACAAAAACACAATTTTAATCATTTTAATATCACTCTCTCATTACTCTTCAGTACTTGAACCGAGACCAGACTCATAGAGGTCAGACTGAACACCAGCAGAGGTCTGCAGGGGTCAGAGGTCAGAGCCAGCAGCACTGTGGGAGGTGGGCGGAGCCAGCAGCTGTCAGTCAGGTGGAGGTGTCATCAACAGGCTCCCAGAGAGCACATTAACCTGACATTAAGTGTCAATGAGCGCCAAGCCCCCATGATGTCACCCCGTCTGTCAGAGAGGTATCCCACAATCCCTCACTGCTGGTTCACCTCGCAGACTCTTTTAACAGGATTACCCAGAGTTCAGTTTGGTAAACACACTTCCTGGAGCAGAAAGTTTCACATTTAAACTCTAATTTCACAATAAAAGCATCACATGCAACTAAAAGTAGACCCTGTAAACTCCCCACAGACACCCTGGACTTCTTCTCTGGAGTTAAACACCTGCTGCTGCCCATCTATACTTCATAAGACCAGGACCTGCAGTTGGTGGTAGACCGGATGAGCAGGTAGACAACAAACTGTACCAGCTAACGGAAGTTATTGATGAGTCCTGACAGATATTAACTGTGTGTGTTACTGTAAACTACCTT